TCTAGGGAAGAGAAGGACCAGGGGAGACACGATGGCAGTCTTCCAATATTTGAGGGGCTGCCCCAGAGAGGAGGAAGGAGGTCAAGCTATTCTCCAAAGCCCCCGAAGGCCAGAGAAGGAAGAATGGATGGAAACTGACCAAGGAGAGATTCAACCTGGAAATAAGGAGGAATTTTCTGACAGTGAGAACAATCAACCCATGGAACAGACGTTGCCTTCGGAAGTTGTGGGAGCTTCGTCATTGGAGGCTTTCAAGAAGAGACTGGACAGGAGAGCATCTTCCAGTATTTGAGGGGCTGCCCCAGAGAGGAGGAAGGGGGTCAAGCTAATCTCCAAGGCACCTGGAGGCCAGACAAGGAATAATGGATGGAAACTGGAGAGATTCAACATAGAAATAAGGAGAAATTTCCTGACAGTAAGAAAAATCAACCAACCCATGGAACAGAAGTTGCCTTCAGAAGCAAGAGGTCAGACTAGAAGACCTCCAAGGTCTGTTCCAGCTCTATTCTGATTGACCAAGGACTCTTAGTCTTTCTGGCAATGGGACGTCGCAGAAGGCCATCATCTACTGGGGAACTGGTGAGCTTTGCGGTGCAGTCACTGGTTGAACCAGCTACTGGTTGAAATGTCTCTTGAGATGTCCCTAAAGATGGAGCCGATCTCAATCACGGTGGGCTTGGCTATTGTTGGAAGAAAGATCCAAGGTCCAGTTCCAAGCCGGGAATAAAATGGAGGCCGGTTGGAAAGAAAGAGTCCGTTTAGTGGCTAACAGAACCAACACACACCCAGTGTGCAGTTCTGGGACAACTGACAAAATGGAGTTGAGAGTGGGTGGGGTTTTTTTTTATACCTTCTTGATTCCTATAGGGTCATGGAGGGGTCATGGCTGGCTCTGTAGGAGAAATGGGAAATGCAAATCCTAGGGGTTTGTCTGAGCTAATCTTGTCAGCCTTTGGCTCGCCTTATTGTGTTGCTTATCTGGAGTTTCCGTCTGACCCAGCCTTTCTGGATTACCCAATCTGCACTTCTAAAAGCTGGCCTCCTCAGTTTCTGCTTGGGGCAGGGAAACTGAGGCTGGTTTCTGCCCCCCCCCCCCTTAAGATTTTTTCCACATTTCTCCTTTAGGGATAATATTCTATATTCTATCCTGCCCTTTTAAGATTATGAAGGATGGGTGGGTGCTGATTTTTTCCTACATTATCAGGTGGAGTTGATTTTCTGATCTAGTCTACTTGGTGGGGTTGGGGTTGATCTTCATAGATTCTGGAATGGATGGCATGTCTCTGTCCAGGTCAACTTCCTTCTCCTCAGGACCAAGTCATGGAAGTCCTAGGAACCAAGAGAAGGCCATTCCCTGGGAGGCTGATAGCATTCCTGGTGCAGTTGATTGTCCACTGATAGGACAGACTAATGGATGAGATGGTCCAGGGTCCCATTAAAAGAAATAATAACAACAACAACAACAACAACAACAACAACAACAACAACCTCTCCGAGGAGCTTTAAAATTTGCTCCACAACCCATTCAAATATGGTGAATATGAGAAAATGAAATTTATGCTGGCTGAACGGTCGCCCACATTAACAAGGGTTCCATTGGATGCTTTAAATGTTCACTTGACTGAGTTTCATGTTTAATGGATAAAGTATATAATAATTGTTTGTACATATTAATCACCTTTCAACTTCCAACTTCTAGGGGAAGTGTTGATATCAGAGTAAAGTTGTTCCACCCTATTGCCAGGGATTCCTTGATTCCAATTCCTACCGCAGAGTGAGATATCAGAGAACGGTTGTCATAAACACAAATAAAATAACACACCGGGGATATGCCAATCAACTCAGAGCGGCAAACCTGACATTTTCCCAGGCTGTTAGGCGTTACGTGGTGGAAGACAGACAAATCAATATTTCACACACAGGTTCCGGTAGTGTGCACGCCCATTAAGCAGATGCGGTCGGAGACTGGGGAATGGGAAATGGAACTGGATTGGACTGGAGGTATTTTGCATGTGTGAACGGGTACCACACAAGGGTATATTCACCTGGGTTGAATCATGGATAAAACCCCAAAAAGAAAGATTTAGGTTAGATTAGATTAACAGAGTTGGAAGGGACCTCAGAGGTCATCTAGCCGAACCCCCACCCACCCCTCAAATATTGGAAGATGCTATCCTGTCTCCCCTGGTTCTTCTCTTTGCTAGACTAGCCCTGCCCAGTTCCTGCAACTGTTCATCGTCTGTTTTCACAAGTGTGTTTCCCAGTGGTGAAATTCAATTTTTTTTTACTACCGGTTTGATACGTGTGGCAGGGGAAGGATATTGCTAAATCCCCATTCCCTCCCCACTCCTGGGGGTAGGAATCCCCATTCCCACCCCATTAGGGGGCCAGTGAGAGGTCATATTTGCCGGTTCTCCGAACTACTCAAAGAACCTGTCAGAACCTGCTGGATTTCACCCCTGGTGTTTCCCCCGAAAAGAAAAGATTTAGCAGTGTTTTTTTCTCAAACGTGGGAACTTTAAGGCCAGTGGACTTCAACTCCCAGAATTCCCCTGGGCCAGCAAAGAATTCTGGGAGTTGAAGTCCACAGGTCTTAAAGTCCTACAGCTGAGAAACAATGAATTAAAGTGTATTCTAGACGACATCTGAATTTGCAAAGGTCAATTTATGACTCCAGTTTTAGAGAGCTGAATTTTAAAAAAATATTCTGATAATAACACATAAACAAACCTGGGGCAGAACATGGCTTGTTGTGGCCGACCAGGATTGGAAGTTTATTCCACCGATGCAAAAAGGGAAGAGTTGTGAGTCTAGGGGAATTCAATCTTACTCCCCCCACAAGCACACCCAGGGATCGCCGGGTGGTCTCTTTTCCAGGAGATGCTGGAGCAGAGAGGAAGGGGCTGGGCATGCACCAAGTGAGGATTAGCCCGTTTTAAGATGCTGGACAACCATTTGTCTGAAGTGGTGTAGGGTTCCCTGCCTAGGCAAGGGGTTGGACTAGAAGACCTCCAAGGTCCCTTCCAACTCTGCTATTCTATTCTATTCTATTCTATTCTATTCTATTCTATTCTATTCTATTCTATTCTATTCTATATTCTATTCTTTTCCTATTCTATTCTTTTCCTATTCTATTCTATTCTTTTCCTATTATATTCTATTCGTTTCCTATTCTATTCTATTCTATTCTATTC